CCCCTCCCCCAAAAGTCAGAAGACCACCAACCTATAGGCAGAAGACCACCAATATAGATATATGCAGGAATCGCCTATCAACCGGGCAGTAACAAACCCCCACCCACCTAACACTCTTATGATATAGGCAGTTATTAAGCCACTATATTAATAACAATTCCATGGTGCAACGGAAAGGGAAAGGAATGAATGGGAGGGAAGGATTCAGCTGCGCGGCTTGTCTTTTGGGATGGGTGCGGGGTCCTTGCGATCATGTACTGCTGGAGAGAGAGACCAGCCCAGACCGAACGAGCATAGGCGGGTGCGAGTGACAAGGATTTGGGGGCCACCGTAACCATGATCAGGGGAGACTCCCAGACAGTCGGGACTGCCCAATGAGAGTCGGGGGACTGGGGAGCCTGGGGGGCTTACATGCGCCTCCTACTGTAATACATTAGGAAAGACATTCCTGGGGGTAAATTGGTATTTGACTGCCTCTACTGATGTCTGCGGAGAATGACATACAGGGGCTTAACTTGCTCAAAAGCACCGTTCGTGCAAACACAAATGCCGAGTCATGAAACCAAAAATGAACTGCACCGAAAAAAAAAAAAAAGGCGTGTTAACATTTTTGGCCAGTCTACATTAACTCCCGTGTCGTCTACACATGCCCTATGAGGTTAAATGCCTCCCCACATTCCCTTTCCTTGTGAAACTAGGGATGCTCAATAGGGACTACCTCCCTTTACTGGCAGGTCCCCTGTCCCTGCAGCCTAACCTCTCCCACGGCTGCCACCCAGCTGCAAGCACAGACTCCCCGCCGTGCCAGACTCTTTCCTTTGCCCCTCCTCTTTCCCAGGGCACCCGAGTCCTGAGTTTGCACAGCTCCTCTCCAAGATAGGGGACTCAGCTCCTTACTGAGCACCACGGGCTGTCCATCTTTCCTGGGGTGCTGGCTCCTGCAGCAGGCTTTCAGTCCCCTCCCTGGGTGGAGAGACTGTCCCAGTCCTCTCCCGCAGGCTGGGAAATGACTCCTCCCCTCTGCTCTTTCCCACTGTCTGCTGTGTTTATAACCTGGACACAGCCAACCAGAAACCTCCATTGTGCTGACAGTCCAATCAGCTGCATGCATATTTTTGAGGCTTGCACTTTTTCAGAGCTCCTGCATGGGAGCCCCTTCCTGCCCTTTCTGCAAAGGCGCTAGCATTACTTCCCTGCCCGGCCTGCTGTCTCCACAACCCGGAAGCTGTTGCACACGCACAGCGAAGCAGCAATGCTACAATGAGTTAATGGGAATCTCACTGTGTTGCAACCATCCTGGGTGGGTTTAACAGAGGTCTCAATCAGCTGGCCACGCTCCTGGATTCCCGTGTCTGCTGTGATAACCCGATGTTTCTTGGGACGCGCTCCAGCTGAGGCAACATCACTGTCCTTTTCTGTTTCTATTATGACTGGGTGGGGTGTCCCCATTGCCAGGCAGTTGCTGCCCTAGTTGGTTGTCTAAGAAGGATGTCATTCTAGCCAACGTTTCCCAGGGCTGTGCGAGGTTTCGGACCCTGCTTTGGATCCGGAGAAGCTTCGGACACTTTGGGATCCAAAGCAGTATGTCCGGATCAAAGTGCTGGCTTCATTAGGCTTTCCGAAGTGGTTCAGAGCTTCCGAACTTTGGAAAATCCACTTTGGAGATCTGACCATAGGGTATAATGGGGAATCAATGAAATATCTGTAACTTTGTTGTTGTCTTATTTGCATGAACTTTTCAGGGGTTGGAGCTTGTTTGTGCTGAGAGCGGGGAGTCTGCCAAGTCTCAAGAATCTCAGTGCAGGGGTTCAGGAGGAACTCCACCCCAAATTCTTGAAAGCAAAACTCGTGTCATGTCTATGTGTTACAATGTGGGGGGGGGGGTGAAAACTGCAGGGTGGTGGCCCCTGGGGAGGCCACAAAGCCTGCCAAGTGTCAAGGAGATCGGTGCAGGGGTTTGTGGGAAACTGCACCTCAAGCTGCAGACAAGCAAAACTCATGACATGGGCGACGCTGTGTGTGTTAAGGGGCAGCAGAGTGAAAGCTGCAGGGCGGTGGCCCCTGCTGCGCCCACGAAGGCTGCCAGCTGTCCATGAGATGGGTGCAGGTGCGTCTCGGCTCTGGGGCCCTGCAGCCCTAGCTGCTGACAGGCAAAATGCATGACATGGGTGCTTGTGGGACTGCCTGTGTCTGTCTTGGGGGGAACTACTGCAGGCCTGGCTGCTAAGCTACTGTGTTACCAGTTACCAATCAATCCTGATTCACACTGGGACCAGCTCGATACACAGTTGCTAGCTAATGTAACGAGTTAATCAGCAACAATTAACACCTACAAAAGCCCACACTAAGGAGAGGAAAGAATCAATACAGACAATCACCAGCCCCAAAACAGACACAGCCAGTTGCACAAGCCGCGATATCACTCAGGGTGATGTGTCTGGGATGGAGGATACTTGCCGGCTGTAGCACCGTACATGGGGTTTGGAATGGTTGAGGTGCGCCTGCTCAGTCGAGATGGTTTTTGGAACAATTGAATGCTGCTCAATTAGTGTGATTTGGAACTGATTAGGCTAATTTGACCTGGAATATGAAGTGTGTGTGTGTGTATATATATATATGTGTGTGCGTGTGTGTGTATGTGTGTGTATATATATATATATATATATATAATCTTCTGCCTGACCCCTAATGATGGCTATCAGGCTGACTGGCTCCTTCCCACTTCCTTCTGCTACCCCAGGCACAGCATCAGCCTTTTCACCTCCCTCGCAGCAGAGCAGAGGGGCAGGGAGTCAGGGCTGGGGCTGGAACCCAGCCATCCTGGGCTCTGTGCACATGTCTGCACTGAGGAGATGTGGAAAAGCGGCTGCCGGTGCCCCAGAGCCCAGGGCCAGTCCACCTGAGTCCACTCTGCCTCAGCAGTGATTGCCTCCCATCTTCACTGAGCAGTAACGGAGGCCCAGGGGTCAGAGGTGCCAGCACTTGTTTTTTTCAGTGCCCACCCACAGATCCTCCCTACTGGGGCCCAAAGCCTGTGAAGGTCCTGCTGTCCTCATCTGCCCACTGTGAGATGGGGCAGTGGTGCAGCCAGGCTCTGTCTCTCTCTCTCTTCTAGGCCCAGCCCTGTTGCTGGCTCAGACCCCTTGCTGCAATGGTGTGGGATCTCTGGGGAACCATGGGCTGGAGCTTGGAGGCTCTGCCCTCCCTACCCATCTGCTTGGGACAGTACACCCCCTTCCCCACTCTCTGCTACCAAATTATTTATCCACCCCTTGTGGCACTGGGAAGAGGCCTGGCCTGGGCCCTGGACTTGGGGCTTTTCCATCAGTTAGAATAACTGGTACAGGGAACCCAGTGAAGGGACAGTGGCTCTGCCCCTCTGAGCTGCCCTGAGTGGAGACAGATGTGGACAGGGGGAGCAGGGACTGACAGATGCATGGACAGTGCATGCACCTTGCGGGACAGTGGTCACTGGGCTGAGGGGCTTTGAGGAGGAAGCCATGGGGGGCTTGTGTGAGAGCCAGGTGGTGCATCCTGTGCTGGGAGGGGAATATGCAATGGGCTCATTTAAAATTTGAACCCAGGCCTCTGCACCATCAGTGGGGACCCTAGATCGGGGCAGGAAATTATTTTGGCTGGGGGTGGCTAAATGAGTTTTGGTGAGCTGTTTATGGCTGCAAGGGTGACCCTGCCCCTTCACAGGTGCCCCGTCCCCTGGCTGCCATCTTGGGACAAGAAGTCCCGCCCCATAACCCCTGACCTTTGTCTTCAGAAGTCCCTCCCCTTGCCCCTCGAAATACTCCTTTTGGAGAGGGGGTTTGCCATCTTGGAAGTGGAAAAATCCCCAAATTATATACTAAAAATCAAACATCCACAATACCATATTTTAATTTTATTTAAAAATATATTTTCATCTTGATTTGTGTCTGTTTGCATCATGTATATAGAGGCAATTGCATCATAGCTCAAAATGAAGTGTCACTCTTGTATATTTATTGGGGGGCTATGAAGGAGTGTGGGGGTATGGGTGGGTGGGTGTGGGGTTTGTGGGGGGCTGTGTGGATGTGTGTGCATGTGAGGTGTGGGGGGATGTGTGGATATGGGTGGGTGTGTAAGGGGGGGTTGTGGGGATGTATGGGTGTGTGTGAGGTTTGTGGGGGCTGTGGAGTTCTTAGTGCTGCCACCCAGAGCAGTACTGGGCTGCCCTGGGTCTCCTCCACTGTCACTGCTGCCTCTGGGCTGCCAAGAAAGGTAATCCAGCCACGGAGCCACCTCAGCCCCACTGTGTGCCCAGGGGCAGCAGGACATGCCACAGCTGGGCAGCGCCTGGGCCAGGTGGGACCAAGGAACCCACCGCAGGCTGGACAAAGCTCCTCTGCAAGCCAGATCCTGCCCATTGGTTTTATTTTGCCCACCCCTGCCCTAGACCACCCAGCTACCCACAGCCCCTCCCAGCTTTCTGGGGCTTGGTGAATGGTAGTTTTCCCACCCACTGGGTCTCCCAGACCTCCCTCCCCCAAGGCACCTGCTCCACTCTCACCCACAGAGCCCTAGGTCCAGCCAGGCACAGCTGGCCTGACTGCTGCTTTGCTCCTGAGCCTCCAGGCTTCATCCTTAGAGTGCAAGAGGCCCCAGGTCCACATCCCGGGTGAGTGTCTTATTTCTCAGCAAGCCTGAACCTCCGGAGGGACAAGCCTGTTGCCATTAAGTCTCATAATCATGGAAAATGAGGATTGGAAGTGACCTCAGGATCACATCTAGTCCAACCCCCTGCTCAAAGCAGGACTGTTCTCAACTAGATCATTCAAGCCAAAGTTTACTCTTACAAACCACCAAGAATGGAGCTTCCACCACCTCTCTAGGTAGCCCATTCCAGTACTTCACCATTTTCCTAGTGAGAAAGTTTTTCCTACTATCCAACCTCAACTTACCTTGCTGCAACTTGAGTCCATTGCTCCTTGTTCTGTCATCTGCCACCACGGAGAACAGTCTAGCTCCATTCTTTTTGGAGCCACCCTTCAGGGAGTTTAAGGCTGCTATTAAATCTCCCCACAATCTGCCTTTCTGCAGACTAAATGAATCCAGTTCCCTCAGCCTCTCCTCACAAGTCTTGTGCCTCAACCCTCAAACCATTGTCATTGCCCTCCACCAGAGTCTCTCCAATTTGTCCACAGCCTTTCTGTAGGCTCACAACTGGATGCAGGACTCCAGATGTGACCTCACCACTGCCGAATACAGTGGAATAATTATCTGCTTTGATCTACTGGTAATGCTCCTACTAATGCAGCCCAGGATGCTGTTAGCCTTCTTTGCAACAAGGGCACACTGCTGGCTAATATTCAGCTTCTTGTTCCATCACCCCAGGTCCTTTTCTGCAGAGCAGCTGCCCACTCAGTCAGCCCCCAGCCTGTACCGGTGTGTGGCATTGCTCCATACGAAGTACAGGACTTTGCACTTTGCACTTGTCCTTGTTGAACCTCATGAGATTTCTTTCAGCCCAATCCTCCCATTTGTCTAAATCACTCTGAATCCGAGTCCTACCCTCCAGTGTATCTACTACACCTGCCAGCCAGCTTGGTGTCATCTGTGAAATTGTTAAGGGTGCACTCTATGCCATCTTACAGATCATCAATAAAGATATTGGACAAAACCAGTCCCAGGACCAACCCCTGGGGCACTCCACTTGATACCGGCTGCCAACTAGACCTCGAGGCATTGATCACTATCTGTTGAGCCTGTGGTGGGCCAATAGTGGGTGCTTCTGCTTTGAGCCACCCACCTCACTGCACCTGACCACCTTCCAGGCTCCGACTACCTCCCTGGGGGCACCACACATTTGTCCATCCCCCTTCCTGAAGCACACCCACCAGCCTGGGGGTACCACTGCCACCACCTAGGGTCTGGACTGATCCTAGCCCTGTGCCCCCTGAGAAACACAGATCAAGTAGTCCTTAAGGGAACTTGACTCACTGCAAGAACTTGGGTGGCTTCCCTCAGTCTGAAGCACAAATAGTGGTTAGCAAAGTCCTGGACATTTGGGCAGGGCAGGAGGGACTGCAGCTGCAACAAGCCAGAGGGGAGGCAGGAGGGTTGTCTGTTCTTTAGTGGGGGAAAGGGGCAGGGGGGCTTTGAGGGCAGTAGCTTCATGGCCTGGCGGCAGTGCAGGCACCAGTGCCCATGCTCGGAGGGACTGAGCAACCAGGGAGGGGAAAGAAGGGAGAGGAGGCCGTGGCCAAGCTGCCTGGTGTGGTGGCAGCCTCATCCCAGGGCAACGGCTGCCACAAGCCTCCCTCCCCTCCTCATCTTCCCTCAGCTGGCGCTGGGCCCAGACACTCCACTGCCACCTGCATGTGTGGGGGGCTGTGGGTCAGGAGCGAGTGGCAGCGGGGATGGGGGGCTGTGTATTGGGAGTGCGAGGGGCACTGGCAGCACCAGGAGGCTGTGGGTCAGGAGTGAGGGGCACCAGCAGGGACAGCGGGTGGTGGGGTGTGGGGCAGGATAGACGAGCATTGCGGGGGAGCTGGGGACTGTGGGTTGGGAGAGCAGGGGGCACTGGTAGCACCAGGAGACTATGGGTCAGGAGTGAAGGGCACCAGCAGGGCCCAGGGGGCAGGGTACTGCAGTTTGGTGAGGGGCACTGGCAGGGCTGGGGTCAGTGGGTTGGGAGTGAGGGGCAGCAGCAGGGCTGGGGGGGGCTGTGGCTAGGCAGTGAGGGGCAGGGGCAGGGTCACCCTTCGGGGCCGGCCATGTAAACACTTCGCAGCCATTGCTCAGTGAGGATGAGAGGCAATCACTGCTGAGGCAGAGCTGGACTCAGGTGTCCTGGCCCTGCGCTCTGGGGCACCGGCAACCGCTTTTCCACATCTCCTCAGTGCAGACATGTGCACAGAGCCCAGGACGGCTGGGTTCCAGCCCCAGCCCGGACTCCCTGCCCCTCTGCTCCGCTGCGAGGGAGGTGAAAAGGCTGATGCTGTGCCTGGGGTAGCAGAAGGAAGTGGGAGGGAACCAGCTTGAGACTCATCATCAGGGGCCAGGGAGGAGATTATAAAAATATATATATATCTTAAATATACTTCATATTCCAGGTCAAATTAGCCTAATCAGTTCCAAATCATAGTGATTGAGCAGTTTTCAATTGTTCCAAAAACCATCTCGATTGAGCAGGCGCACCTCAACCATTCCAAACCCCATGTACGGTGCTACAGCCGGCAAGTATCCTCCATCCCAGACACATCACCCTGAGCCTTCAGATATTCCCAAATCCATTAGCAAGCATCCTATGCACAGGCCCAAGCCTGGAGGTCTTGGGGTTTGGATGCCCCTAGATATTACAGGCAAGCATCCTCCACCCAGACTCTTTAGTTCAGGACTTCAAATACTCCCTACACTTGATCTTAGCCCACATGAGGCCAAGAAGTGAGGGAGATGCTGCAGGCGGAAGATGCTGCAGGGCCCTGGGGGCAGCTCTGTACAGAGGCTCTGGAGGCTTCAGCCCTGCCCAACCTGCTCTTAAATCCACTCAGGGAAGTGGGTGATCATCAGCACTGTCATCTTTATTCTGGCAGCCTGGGGGCCACACAGGCCTGGGTCATGCATGGACAGACTAGGAGAGACAGCCCCCAGCCCTGGGCTCCCTGCCCAGCCCCATCGCACAGACCACATGTGGGAGGCAGGATGGCAAGAGCAGCCTTCACCATTGGAGGCCTGGGGATGACCCAGCCAGGATCTAGGCATGAGCCAGACCCTGGGCCCTGCATCCCATCCAAAGCTCAGCTCTGGGAAGCATCCTGGCATCTCCTGGGTGGGGCAGAGATGCAGTGCTGGTGACATTGCCTCTGTCTTCGACTGCTCCCTCCCTCCTCAGCTCTTGGAGGCTCTGGGGGACTCCGAATGACCTAGGGGACAAAGGGAAGAAGCCTGTGACTTGCCATCTGGGCATGCGGGTTCAGTCATCGGACAAGAGCCCAGCACTGGTGGCTGTGTGGTAGAGTTTGTGCCTACCACAAGTCCCAGCAGGGTCAAGTAGGGGCAAGAAAAGTGATAGGGAGAAATTGGAGGTGGGCTTAGGGAGAGGCGTGAGATGTGTGGGTGAAAGCCTGTTGCACCCCTGCAGCCCCCTAGCAACCCCCAACAACTGCAGAGAGCCCCTGGAGTAGCTGGAGGTAAGTGGGGCCATGGTGGGAGGGGCTCAGCTGTGGGGAGGGGGCTGATTCTGAGCCAAGGAGGGTCTCATCCTGCCCCAGCTCCTACTCGGTCCAGCCCCTCAGGGACAGAGGAGCTACTCACTGACCCCTCTCCAGGGAGGCAGGGTCATCCCCCCTCACCTGGGAGTAGCACAGGTGCCAGCGGCAGGACCACTGCCCATGTGTGTCATTTAAAAGGGCCTGCCAAAGGAAAAAAGCCCCCCAACAGCGGCGGGGTGCCCTTGCTGACCCCCAGCATAGGTGGAGGTAAGAGGGGTCTGTGGTGGGAGAGGACGAGCCCAGCTCAGCTGTAGGGAGGGGGCTGATTTGGAGCCGAGGAGGGTCTCACCCGCCCCAGATCCTACTTCTCCCAGCCCTCCAGGGAGCCACGTGACCAGAACCTTACAAACAGGCGCGCTTGTCTGCCCGGTGCATGAGTTTGAGCAGGAGGGCCTGAGGCCCTGCCCGTGCTCCCTAGGGAAGGCAGTCCCAGCCGCAGCTGGCCTCCCAGCGACATCATGTGGATGGGCATGTGCCACAACCTGAGGGTCCCCTCTGCGCCTGTGGCCTCCCCCTCTGGCTCCTCAGAGGCCTCCACCCAGACGGAGCCCGTGGTCCCAGGCTCCATGCAGACAGAGGCCCTGGCTTTCGGCTGTGGGAGCTGCCTGACACTGAGTTGCTGGGAAGAGACAGCCTCCACCTCTCTCTGCAGGGGACGAGGCTTTTCTCAGCCCGACTGGCTGACCTGCTCCACTGGGCTTTAAACTAAGCCCGCCGGGGGGTGGGGGGAGTACTGCCAGTGCTGGCCCACCCTAGCAACCCTTGCAAAGCCAGCAGGCCAAGGCACTCTAACGGTCCCACCCCTGCCCCAGCCCTGGAATGAGTTGTGGGCAAGGCAAGGACCCCCAAAGGGACACTTGCCTGCCTGTACACGAATGCCAGGAGCTTGGGGAATAAACAGGAGGAACTTGTCCTCCTGCTCAGCACAATTATGACATCATAGGGACAACGGAGACCTGGTGGGACTCCACCCATGACTGGGCCACAGGTGCAGATGGCTATTCCTTGTACAGGAGAGATCAAGTGGACAAAAGGGACGGGGTTGTAGCTCTCTATGTCAAGGAAACCTGCAAGCTGACATTGGTGCCCAGGGTAGACAACCGGAGACCCTCTGGATTAAAATCCGTGGGGAACACAGCACAGGGGACACAACGATGGGAGTCTACTACAGACCTCCCACCCAGGATCAAGAGCTTGAACAGGAGTTCACCAGTGAATTGGCCAAGGCCACACGCTCCTGGTGCGTGGTTGTCATGGGAGATTTCAACTAGCTGCATATCTCATGGGAAGAGCGCTCGGCCAAATCTGAATGGTTGCAAAGTTTTCTCTCACGCGTGGATGAGCTCTACCTGATGCAGGAAATCTACGGGCTGACAAGAGGCAAAGCACTGCTCTGCCTGGTACTGGCAACGAAGGACAACCTTATCGGCGACCTAACGATCGAATGGAAGCTGGGTGACAGCGACCACGAGCTGATCACCTTCACCATCCGCCGTAAAGCTGGCAAGTCAGTCAGCATTGCAGAAGTCCTCAACTTCAGGAAAGCTGACTTTGACAAGCTCAGGAAGCTTGTCAGTGAGGCCCTAAGGGACCACAACCCAAAGGCGGGGGGAGTTCAGGATGAGTGGGCTGGGGGCATTGCTGGATGCACAAGCTAAGGCTATTCCACCTCGGAGGAAAGGCAGCAAAAGGGCACAGCAGCCCCCATGGCTCTGCAGGGAACTAGCAGACCTCCTGCATCTGAAAAGAAATGCCTACACAGCATGGAGGACTGGATCCGCCTCCAAGGAGGAATATTCTGCTCTGGTCCTGACCTTCAGAGAGTGAACCAGGAAAGCCAAGGCTGGGACTGAACTCCAACCAGCTACAAGTATCAAGGAGAATAAAAAGGCCTTTTTTAGATATGTGGGGAGCCAGAGGAAAAGCAAGGGCAACACTGGACCCCTGCTAAACCAGAAGGGACAGTTGACAACCAATGTCTAGGAAAAAGCCAACTTGCTAAATGGGTATTTTGGGTTGGTATTTCACCAGTCCCATGGGATGCCCTTGCCCATTATGGGATGGGAAGGCCTGGGTGGGGGAGATTCCTTATCCTCCATCAATGCTGACCTTGTGAAGGAACACTTTGAGAGGCTGGATACCTTCAAGTCAGCCAGCCCTGACAGTTTACACCCCAGAGGACACAAGGAGATGGCAAGCATCATAGCTCAGCCCCTGGCATGGATCTTCAAGAACTCCTGGCGCTCTGGTGAAGTGCCCAAAGACTGGAAGAAGGCCAATGTGGTGCCTATCTTCAAGAAAGGGAGGAAAGTGGATCTGGCAAACTACAGGTCCATCAGCCTGACCTCTATCCTGGGGGAGGTCTTAGAAAAGATTATGAAGGTGGCCATTCTTAACAGACTGGCTGATGACAACATCCTGAGGGATAGCCAGCCCGTGTTTGTTGCGGGTAGGTCTTGCTTGACCAATCTCATTTCCTTCTACGACCAGGTGACCTATCACCTGGACAAGGGAGTAGTGATTGATGTTGTATATCTTGACTTTAGAAAAAAGCCTTCGATCTGGTATCCCATGATCACCTTATAGCAAAACTTGCCAACTGCGGCCTCGGCTTCACCACAGTCCGCTGGCTGGGCAATTTGGCTCCATGGTCAGACCCAGAGGGTGGTGGTTGATGGAAGTCAATTGTCACGGTGCACTGTGACCAGTGGTATCCCTCAAGGCTCTGTTCTTGGGCCTATATTCATCAACGATGTGGACGTTGGTATCAGAAGCATACTGGCCAAGTTTGCTGATGACACCACACTTTGGGGTCAAGCATCCACACCTGAGGACAGGAGGGGGAACCAGGCTGACCATGGTAACTCCCAGGACATCATTCTCCTGTTGTACTCAGCCTTGGTGAGGCTGCAGCTGGAGTACTGCATCCAGTTTTGGCCTCCGCAATTCAAAAAGATGTGGAGAAGCTTGAGAGAGTGCAGAGGAGAGCCACGCGCATGATCAGAGGGCAGGAAAACAGATCTTACGATGACAGGCTGAGAGCCATGGGGCTCTTTAGCCTGGAAAAGCGCAGGCTCAGGGGTGATCTGGTGGCCGCCTATAAGTTATCGCAGGTGCTCAGCAGGATCTGGGGAAACGTCTGTTCACCAGAGCGCCCCAAGGTATGACAAGGTCGAATGGTCACAAACTCCTCCAAGACCGTTTCAGGCTGGACATAAGGAAGAACTTCATTACTGTCCAAGCCCCCAAGGTTTGGAATAGACTGCCGCCGGAGGTGTTTCAAGCAGTTGCTTTGAACGCCTTCAAGAAACATTTGGATGTTTATCTTGCTGGGATCCTGTGATCCCAGCTGACTTCCTGCCCCTGAGGAAGGGGGCTGGACTCGGTGATCTTCCGAGGCCCCTTGCAAACCTAATGTTTATGAATCTATGAATCTAGGATTTGAGCCGCTGGTCTTCCCTGTGAGCTGATGTAACAGGGCCCATTCCAGGGGTGGCCTTAATGCTCTGCAGCCCCTTCAGCCTTATCTGTTTCCCTTTGGGTAGTCCCTCCTTCCTTCGCCCACCGCCTCTCGATGCCTTGAGTTTCTAGGTAAAGGGAAGCTGCCCCAGGGCTTCCCAAGCTTGACCTTGCTCTCATGCACAGAGGGGTCCATGGTCATTGACTTACAGGCCAATTATGGAGCTCCTACCTTCTGTTTACACCACTCCCATACTTCACAAATAATATTCCTTCCTGTTGTCACGTGCTCCTCCTGGGCTCTGGGCTCCCAGCTCCAGTCCTTGCCCCTCTTGGGCTCTGAGCTCCTTGGCCCCCCTGGTCTCTGGCTGTGACCCCTATCTTTTTCCCCTCTCTCTGGGCTGTGCCCCTACTCCTAAGCCAGGTGAGAATCATGGGCTCCTCTGGCCATGCCAGTCTGGCTGTGGCCCACCTCAGCCTTTGGCCCCTATCTCTGCTCCTGTGCCAGTGAAACCATTGAGCTTCCTGGCCCTGTTCATACCCACCCCTCCCAGGCTGCAGACCTCTGGGCTCTCTAATCCTGCTGACAAATGCCCCTCTGTGGGCTCTGGGCCCCCTGGCCCCACTCTCTACCCTTTGCTCAGGCTTGTCCTCACTCCCAGGCCTTGCTCACACTGGCCCTTCTCTGGGCACTTCCACCTCCACCAGTGCCAGGCTTCAAACCCAGGCCCTCTCTACTCAGCCCCTCTTGGGTTCAGGTTCTCTCCTTCTGTGCCCCAGGCTCTCTGTTTTCCTGGCCCCTCTTCATCTCTCTGGCCCAGCTGGGACCTCCGACCTCCCTTTAGTCCCTGCACAAGCCACCAGTGCTTGCCCCAGCCCATAGGCTGTGGCAGAAGCCTGGCTGTGGCCGTGCTGCTCAGGACCTCCTTTCCCTGCAGCTCTCAGGACTAGACTGCCTGACCAGCTCAGGGCCTGGGCTTATATGTCTCAAGCCCTGCCCCCTTCTGGTCACATGACTCTGATTGGCCCCTTCCAGATGTGAAGGCTGCTTTTGGAGCAGCCCCTTCTCTTAAAGTGACAGTTGTGCTAAGCACCCATCACAGCCAGGTAGGGCCACAGGCTGCACCTGCTTGCTGGGGCATGGGGGAGCGTGGGGCCAGCCTGAAGCCTGGTCCTCAGGATGTGGGGTCTCCAGCAGACTACAGGGTTGGAGCTGGTGGATGGGGTCTGTGGTCAGGAGCATCTTCTGACACTCACTTCGCCACTAGCAATACTGGGCCATGAGCCCATGTTTCTCATTGGGCTGGGAGCATATGGAGCCTTCCCCTGCCTGCCCAGTGTGACTGGAGGGGATATTGCCAACCCAACCCAAAATTTCCTGCTGTGCCTGAGAATCAGTGGCACATCTGCTCAGACCAGACAATGCACCTGGTGCAAAGCATAGCAGCCCTTGTGTGTCACCAACCCGGCCTTGCCCTGTGCAGCCCAACCCACACGCTCTTACCTTGGAGCTGCAGCTGCCCACTGGACCTGGACCTGAGTTTCTTTAGGGCCTCATGCTCCATGTGGCACTGGTACCTAACCCTGTCATCCTCAGGCCCCGTGGATGGGACACGCAGCTCGGACTCCATGCTGTAGGACTTCCCATCTGGTGCCCGGCTGGGGGCAGGAGTGTGGATCCTGTGGGGGTCTGAGGTCTCCAAGGGCTTTGCCTCCTTCCTTTTTGCTCTCTTTCGCAGCCAGGTCATTGCCACCTGCCTGGGGTAGGATCTTGATAGAAGGTGCTGTGCATTCACTGGCTGCCCAGGGACCAGGGCCTGCAGGTGGGAGACTCCCCCCAGATCTGGAGGGCATGGATGGTAGGCTGCAGAGGGTGAGGGCAGCATATCAGCAAGGTTCCCCTGTCTCCAGGTATCAGACATATGCCCAACCACTGTGCTGGCTGCTCAGAGCCCACCTCCTGGCAGCCTCTGCTGTGAGCTCTCCTCATCCAGCCAGCAAGGCCCTGGGCACCTCCTCTTCCAGACAACCTCCAGGAGGGCCTGGTGTGAGGGGTCAGGAAGTGCCATGGGCTCACAGCCCCTCTGGGCCGGGCAACAGGCAGATCTGCTCCCCTGTGAACCCATCATGACCAGAACAAGGTCCCTTATACTGGTATGGCTGCTGGGCCAGTCCCATCCCCCATCACTTACCATTGCTCCTCTCTATGGGGGTCTCCAGGGCAAGGTGTCCCACACGGCAGATGTACTCTGCCCCCTGGTCCATTGAGGTCAAGAGGTTGAGTCTGGTCTCCTGCTGGAAGCTCTTCCCATCCTGTGCTAGGACAGCCGTGCCGGGCTCCACCCTGCACTCAGCTGAGCCCTGCAGGGTCACAGCAGTGTCCTCCCCCTTGCCCCTCCGCAGCCAGGTCACGCTCAGCTCCCCCGGGAAATGCCCCGCGATATGGCAGCTCAGGATGAATCCCTTCCTCTTGGCCATGGACTTGGGCTGGGTGATTTCAGACACCTCTGGGGGACGCAGGAGACCTGGGGAAGGGAAGAGCCAGAGACAGGGACAGGCCCCATTAGGGGAGCCATGGCTTGGCAGAAGCTGCTCTTCAGCCCCTCACACACCACACAGACCCAACACTCCCTGCAGCGGGGCTGGGACCCCAGGAAATGGCCCGTCCTCACCTGCGTCCCTCAGGCTGAGCTCTCTCTCGCTCGGGGGCTCTTTGGGGCCACGCTGAACACACACTTGCACTCGCAGCTCCGGCCGGGTCAGGCTCCGGCTGGGCACTCTCCAGACGCTCGTCGCAGTGAACGTGCCATCCGCCTTCTTGTCTATCCGGGCAGGGTCTTCCCTCCAGCTCCCGGCCCCGTCCCAGCCCCACTGGATCGGGGGCACCTCCTTGGGGTAGAAGTTCTGCATCTGAACAGCGAACGGCACCTTGTCGCGGGGGTCCCACTCTGGTAACACCCGGATCTCAGACACCTGTGGCCGGGCTGGGGGAGACAGTGGGAGTGTTAGTGCAAGGGACTGCCGGGATTCTGCTTGGGGGTGGTGGATGGTTGTGCTGAGTGAGACCTGCATACCCCCAAGAGCTGGCCAGACCCCAACCCCATCCCACCCTTATGGCAGCAGGCCCTGGCTGCACCTGGAGGTGGTATCGGGGCGCTGGGCACTCACCCCACACCCGGATCTCTGGGGACACTCGCTCCTCTCTGATCCCTTTGGCTTCATGGAGGAAGACACATCGGACTTGCGCCCCATCATCCTGCACCGTGGGGATGAAGGTCAGGTAGGATGTGAGGCAGGTCCCAGCTCTCTCCTCTGTCACTCTCCAGCCCGGGGGGAGGGCAGGTAACAGCGGCCGGTGCTCGGGGTTCTTTTGATCCCCAGCGCTCTCAGGCACCGTCCTGTCATCACTGTGGATCCTTTCCCACATCACAGCTACATCCTCAGGGAACGTCCCCTCCATGGAGCAGTGCAGGGTCACCTCCTGGCCCAGCAGGCACAGCTTTGGCTCCTGCACCTCTGAGACAAAATAGGAGTTTACCTTGGATGATGTGGGAGATGTGTCGAGACTGAGCTCAGGGATGGGAGCGCCTGGGGTGAAACCTGCCTGGAACAGGCGGCCCCATGTGTCTCTGCTGCATCACAGTCGCCCTCCCCACCCTCTGGCCCATCCCCTCCCTCTGTGACCCTTCAACCCAAAGACATCTCCCTGCTCTACCTTTTTTCCTCTTCTTTGAAAAGTAAATAGCTACAGCAGCTGCGGCTCCTGCTCCCATCAGGATCCCCAGGATGACTCCAACCATGGTGCCAGTCTGATCCACTGCTGCGCTTGGTTGCGAGAGGAGAGAACAAGGCAGAGCTCAGCTCACAGCATGGCTCTGAGGGGAGCAGGCCTCTTGCCTGAGACCCCCGAGACAGCCCTCACCCTGAATCCCCTCCTCCCTCTGGCTGCAGGGGCAGAGCACAGGCAAGGCCTTGTCTCCTCTGCAGCTACCTCTGGCACGTGGCCTGGCAATGTTTGTGCCCCAGATGCTGCCTTGGCAGTCACGGGCCAGGGTTTGCTCTGGGATGCTGGGGATCCCTGTGCCCGACCATGCACGGGGAATGCAGGGATCTGAATGCAGCAGCCAGGGAGGCCCCTCCAGGACTGCGTCCCTCTGCTCCTCGGTGCTCCAGCTCCTTTGGGAGGGAAGGCATGTTCCTGCTGGCTAATGCAGCCCCATAACATCCTGGTCTGCACCTCAGCTCTGCCTGCACAGTGGCCTGGAGCAGCTCTTCGCTTCCACCAGGGAGGGAATTGGGAAGTTCCTTCTGCAACAGCAGGCTGGCTCCGGACTGGGCCTGGCTCCTGCCTCAGTCGTACCAGGCCACCTTCCACTTCCCTAAATACCACTGCACCTGCAGGGAGTCCAGGGCCACCGGTGCCCTGACAGTGAAGCGGCACTGCAGCAGGGCCCCCGAGCCCATGCGGGCCGTGGAGGAGGGCGCCGTGGTCACCTGCAGCTGGGAACCTGCCCAGGGGAGGGGAAGCAGCTGTGAGACCCCGCGGGGCTGGGGGCAGGAGCCTGTTGTGCCCTGGGGACGACTTGACTTTACATGAACACGCTGAGCTGCATCTGCAACGTCGTTCTGTCGTGCAGCTCCTCCAGACCCCTCAAACCCCTCCCGCACGGGGACCCCATTTTCTCCCCTCAGCCAGGAAAGCATGCAGGGCATGTCTACCAATGCCCTTCCTCTGCTCCAGTCTGTCTGCCTGGTTTGGCCAGGCTAACCCGTCCTGGGCTGCACACCTCGGCCCAGCCCCATCTGCCCCCGCACCCAGCCCAGGAGAGCAGCGGGGCTGGACTTACTGTATGGCACAAAGAGGGAAGAAAGGAGGACGACCCCAGGAAGGGGCAGACGGCCCAGGGGCTGCCACCAGGGCCGCATCTGTCTGTCTGTGCTCATGGTTGTTGTCCCCTGAGACTAAAATGGATCCCAGCAACTTCTCTCTGGCTTTCGCTTTCACTTGGGAAAGAGCCAGGCCTCAGCTGTGAATCAACAGGAAGAGGCACCATCCTGTGCCAGGAGGTTTAAATACCTGGGAGCTGAGCCAGGCCAGCTCTTGCCCTTCTCCACAGCCCCGTGGCTCTGAGAAGCACAGGGGAGACTCAGACATACCCCCAGACACCACACACACACACACAGCTTCCCCTGCCCCCCCCCACACACACACACACACATGCACACACACATACAGCCTCCCCTGCCCACACACACACACACACACACACACACACATACACAGAGCCTCCCCTGCCCTGGTAGCAGGAGCCCGGGGCAGGGGCTGGGCAGGCTCGGGGCTGGGGATCCCAGCCCCTCCTGCTCCCTGCCCGGGGTCTGCTCCCAGGGCCCCAGTGCTCCCGACAGCCCAGACCCGCAGCCCTGGGCAGGGAAAGGCGCACAGCAGGAGGGGCTGTGTGCACTTTGGGGGTCCAGTCCATCAGCTCCTCCAGGTCTCAGTGTCCCAGGACCCCTGGCTGCAGGGGAAGGGAGGCGTCCCCTAGGCCATGTCCAGGCCTTTCTTGGTCCCCCTCCTATCTCTGTCTGGGGAGGGATGGGGGTTGGCACACAGGCAACAGCAGCCTGAGGCCTGGACTGATCTGGTACATCCCAGAGGAGACTTTACCCTTTGCTCCTTCCCAGTGGCTTTGGGTATGTGCTCCAAGCCCCGCACCCCTGCCCATGTCACCCCCGTGCTGTGGCCACCATGGATGAAGTGTTCCCTGCTGCTGCTGGTCTCCACACCCCTCGATGCACCTGACACAGCTACCCTGGGCAGCGACAGAGAGGTGTCTCTGCTCTCCAGCTCCGTCTCTGCCAGGCTCCCCCCAGGCTGGCCCTGGCCCTCACCTTGGCCTGACTGTGCTATCCTTTTCTCCCAATTATACCATGTCCCTCATGGGCTGTGCAGGGTCACTGCCCCCCAGCATTGCCCAGCACTGCAGCAGGGCCCAGGAACCCAGGTCCGGGAGGCAGCAAGTGATTCCCAGGCAAGTGGAGCTGGGAACAGGCTCAAGCGGGAGAGGAAGCAGCCCTGAGACCCTTTGGGGCTGGGCTGGGCAGAGGCGAGGGGCTGGGACCTGGTGTCATGGGGGGAGATGTTGTCTGCGTGGGGCAGGTCCCTGCCATGCTGTGACCACCTTGGGCTGTGGTAGTTACTAGCACCCCCAAACTCACCACCCCTTATGGCCCCCCCAGGGCTCCCCCAGAGCCAGGCTGTTCTCTGCAAACATGGGGCTGCTGTGATTTGTCTGTTCCAGGTGTGTTCACGAGATGGTACCCGGCTGCCCCTGCACCGGGGCTGAACACGGCCACCACAGCCCGGCCCTGCCACCCCTCGCCCCAGCAGAGCAAGGGGTTGGCACTTACCTGCTGTCCCCAGGAAAAGGAGAGGCAGGAGCAGGCCCCCGAGGCGCAGGGTCCAGGTGTTGGTCTGTCCCCCCACAGCTGCCATCTCCTCTCCTGTGAAGCCAGCATGGATCCCTGGGCCGTCCCTTTGTACTTTCACCTGCCCTGTGTTGCAGGGAGGGGCTGGGAGAAGGGGCCAAGGTCCAGTGTGAAACCGGACGTCATGTGGGGGGTTGTTTTCTTGGCTGTTCCCTGGTGAAAGCAGTGTTTATTTTGGATGATTTTATTGTGCCGGGACACGGCGCATGGCTGGATGTCACGGGTATGCCTCTGTCCTGGTCCCAGGGCCCCCTGCTCCTGTGCAAGGTGGCCGTGCAGCTGGAGGCAGGCTGCAGGGAGCTGGGGGCACCGGGGCGCAGGTGGGAGCTGCCTGGGTGAGCGGAGCCAGGGGCTGTCCTGGCCGGGCTTGTGCTGCAGGACCCTGCACTCGTGGGACCTGGGCAGAAATGAGGGAGGGCACTGCCAGGGGCTGGGCTGGGCAGAGATGTACAGCCTCTGGGCACAGGACAGTTGGGCTCTGGCTGCGGCAGGGCAAGGAGTGCCTGGACCTGGCTGTGAGCTGGAGTCAGGCCAGCCCAGGAGAGGGGTGTGGGGACCCCGACCCAGGGGGTTTCCCTTAGCGTTAGGGCCAGTGAGGGGGTGTTTGGTGTTGGGCTGGACTGGAGGGAGGGCTGTAGGGGTGGGTTGGAGGCCACACACTGGAGCGTCGGGGCACTCTGGTGTCAAGCCCTGCCAAGGACACCAGTGAGTGACGCAGGCTGAGGCCACGAGGGCCAAGGCCTGGGCACAAGACAAGAGAGGCTGGCTCGGGAAAGGGCCAGGAGCTGAGGTCCTAGGCAGAGAGCACAGGTGGGGGCTTGTCCAGAGGAAAATGGGCTAACGTCAGGACAGCTGAAGCCCCAAGTGCTTGGAGGGCTCAGGGCAAGAGTGGGCAAAATATGGTCTGCGGGCTGCATCCAGCTCACCAGGCACTTTCATCTGGCCTTCGGCACCCTGCAACGAATTGCAGCCCGCCCAGCCCTTCCACCCGTGAGGGTAGGAACGAGGCCCCCACATATACCATATTTCCAGCTTTAAAAAAGAGGACACCTGCCAAACGCATATAGGTGGGGTAGTGTATGATTGTGGGGGGCAGCGATATGTTGGTGCTCTGGCCCTGCCCACTCTGTTGCCCCTCACTCCCAAGCTAAAGCCCCCCCCAGCCCTGCTGCTGCCCCTCACTCCCAACCCGGGGACTCCCTGCCTCTGCTGGTGCCCCTCACGGCTGACCCACAGCCCCTGCTCCCTCCTCTCCTGCCTGCCTGCCTGCCTGTCTGCCCACCCCTGCAACCTTTCCCGGCAGCGGGCTGCTGCCGACCAGCCAGCCCCCTCCACAAGTCGCAGTCCCCCAGCCAGGGTGACTACATGCTGCTGAAGAGGGAGAGAAAAAGCCAGGCGCTGGGGCCCGGTGCCTTCTGCGGGTGGCAGAGAAGCTAAACCGAACTGGGCAGGGG